GAATTCCCACAAATTGTTTAAGGGTACAGTAAATGAATAGTATTATAAACAAAAAGCCCAAATCCCTCACAAATGCCTATGTTGCATTTGCTTACAGATTAGCCTACTACACATTCATTGTGCAACTGCATTTGTAGAAAACACTTTGAACAAAAAAAATGTTATACCCTAACAATAAGTGTTTTCTATTCATAGATATGTTCAAGTCAAACAAACCACATCTGCCTCAAGGTTTGTTTGGGTGGTGGGTTTTTTTTGTATTAGTGACAGATTTTTGCATAAGTAGGATGTTACAGGACACAGTATGAAGTCAGACAATTTTAAAGGAGGCTCCATTTTGAATTACTTAACTGACAGTGTATCAACACACTTACTAACAAACATGGTAACTTTCAAAAAGTGATGTTTGGAGTTTATTTCAAAGATAGTTTATTTCTAAGCTTCTAAGGTACAACTCAACACAAATCACAAAACATGAGAAAATCTAAATGACTGCATAGGAATTAATCAAAGCTACAAACAAATGGCATGCTGACACTTTTAAAAACTACTTTTACTTCACTTATACAACTAGACAGTCAAAACAAACTAAAATTGCTCTATATAATGCATTAAGAAAACTTCTACATCCTGCACAAACTCTCATCATTTCCCAAGTCTCATCTCCCTATTCAACACAGTAATATGTCAACATACTCCATAAACGTGTTTTTGCTTATGATCAAGGTGCTTACAGGGAAAGCATACATTTTTAGTCTACTCCTATGAATATATTTGAGGAGCAGAGGGAAAAAAACAGCCCTATTGCTTACTGTACCTTGTAAAGTATTTCTTAAAAATTCTTAATATTTTTATCCATATAATACAGGAGAAAAAAAGAAAAGGGACATGATTCTGTTCACAGTACCATTCATACCTTGCTTATGGCTGTCAGAAATGACAACAGTAGAAGCATAAGAGCACAAGAAACAGCTGTCTTCAGTGTACGCACACCTGACAGCCCTTCTTGGAAAGTTAGTTTCCCCTGTCAACAGCACAAGATGAGAGATGGCGAGACTGCATATATATGTGTACATTAACACACACACTCACATGTACATAACATCAGAACAAGAACATGCCTGGCTAAAACCACATCAGTGAGCAGCAGTACTGAGAAAAGCCTCATAACTCTTTTTAAAACAGCCTCCAACAAGGGAAACACCTCCAGAGTGGAGACGACGAAGAAAAAAACCCAACAAACCGAGAGATCTCATCGGCCAGGCCCACGACGGGCAGAAGGAGGAGGAGTACCCCTGCAACAGCTCCTCCATCCTGCCTCTCAGCCGAGGAGAGGAAGGGTGGAGAGCGAAGGGAGGAGGCAAAAGCGAGAAGGAGAGACGGCCCGAGAGGAGAAATATGCCAAGCATCGCCTCCGGTGAGGAGAAATCCCCCTCTGCACCCACACATACACTCTGCAAGAGAAACAGGGGGGAACCCCCAAACATCCACTGAGGAAATTTCTCCTCCTCGTGCATCCAGCTTCAATTTACTGAAGAGACAGCAAATCGATCAC